TTTTTGTGTTGAGAGTGAGGTTCTGTCTCAAGTGGAGGAGTTTAATTATCTCTGGATTTTGTTCATCAGTGCACGAAAAATGGATTGTGAGATCTACAGATTGATCTGCACAGCTTCTTTAGTGTAGGGAACTCTGTCGGTCTGTTTCAAGATGGGGTCTCTGCAGTGCACTGGGGGAGTTTCTTGTTGTGTGGGCGGAGTTGGTCCTTAACGTGATTGGTGGGGTTCTTGATGTGGGCGATGTCTTTAATGTAATTCACTGTTTTTGAAATGGGCGGAGTTTGTCCTAAACGCGATTGGCTGAGTTCTTGATGTGGGCGGAGTTTGTCTTAAACGTGATTGACTGAGTTCTTGATGTGGGCGGAGTTTGTCTTGAATATGATTGGAGGAGTTCTTGGTGTGGGCGGAGTTTGTCTTGAACATGGNAGTTCTTGATGTGGGCGGAGTTTGTCTTAAACCTGATTGTTCTTGATGTGGGCGTCCAACTGGAAAGAGATCCCGAGGAAGACCCGGGTCACTCGGAGAATGTAAAAAGAAAGACAATAACTTGTGGGTGATTGGCAGAGTTCTTGATGTGGGCGGAGTTGCCTTTGAACAGGTGTGTTTGTGTGTTTCAGGTACTCATGTGATGGAGGGCTCGGGCAGGATGCTGGTGACAGCTGTAGGTGTCAACTCCCAGACGGGCATCATCTTCACGCTGCTCGGCGCTGGAGAGATGGAGGAGGACGTGAAAGAGAAGAAAGGTGAGCGACTGAAAAAAGAACCGGAGTTTTCTTTGAACCTGCGATCAGACAGAAATTGAAAAAAAAAAACGTACGGTTGAAAATTTTCAGCTTATTTCAGCCTTTTGGGGCCTAAACTAGTCAGGAGTTATTGTTAATGATCAAAAATGTTTCATTCCTTTTTATTTCCGTTTCTGTCATTTGGACAAAACATTAAATATATTAATTTAATGTATAGATGAACTACACTAAAAAAACAGATTGTTGGATTTACTTAACCAAGTTATGTCAACAATTTCCACTAAATTGAGTTGAGTAAATCTAAAGCAACTTGCACATTTACATTGAAATAAATTGTGAAAGTTACGTTGAACTTACTCAACTCAGTTAAGTGGAAATTGTTGACATAACTGAGTTAAGTAAATCCAACAATCTGTTTTTTCAGTGTAATTCTGTGTTTTGTTTTTTTTTTATTTTGGTCTATACCAATTTCTGATTTTAGTAAAGCTCAGTGCAATCCGGCTGCAGTTTATTCCAACATTAAAGCTTTAAATTGTTGTGTGACAGAAAAGAAACAAAGAAATGTAAATCAAACATTCATAATTAGCTGCGGGTGACTAAATAAATACCACAAAATGGACTCATTAATCAATCAATTAATCTATCATCTTAATCATGTCTGTGTTTAAATGAAGTGGGAAGAAGTAGAAAACAGGAAGTGCAGTTTTGCTTCCAGTACCAGSGGCGTGGAGCTCGAGGGGTTAAACTCGTATTACCCCACGTCCTCCTCCTGTTTCTCCTCTTTCCCACTCGTTGTCTCATGTTCTCCTAACCCCCCCTCCTCCCCTCATCTCTGTGCTTATCCACACCTTTCAGATCTTGTTTACCCCCACCACCCTGGCCTCTTTGCCCTCACTCTGTTTCTCCTTCCCCTCCCTTAATCTGAGAGAAAGAGAGGCTGCAGATTCAATCAATTATTGAAAGAGCAGCGAGGTGGGGCAGTGGTGTTGAGTGGAGGGGTGGGGGTGGGGTGGGGGGCATTCAGGAAAGAGCGTTGGTTGGTCAATGCACGAAGCATTAGTCTGTTCTCAAATCTGTTTTGGAAGCAGGCTGCAGTCAGACAACAGAGGCTGCACACACTTTCAGAAGCACTTAAGGTTAACGTCATTAGCAGCTTCCACCGCTGCTCTCACTCTGCACGGGAATGCGCRTGGCGTCGTTAGCATCCCGAAACGGAGCAAACATCATCCTTGGACGGCGGTAATGGACGGCGACAGATTGGCCGATGATGAAAGAAATAAAGACTCATCGCTTCTTGTCCTCGTTTTGCACTCAAACACGGCATCGTCTCAGCGAGCCGGATCGGTTCGTGGACCGGAGGGAATAAATTATTCATTAAAACCTCTACAAATATCATAACGTGCTAGCTTCTCCCCGAGAAGACGCCTGCTTTCTGTTTTCTCATTGTTGCCGTTCCACTCTTTGGTTTCTGCTGTCTTCACGCGGTCACTTTCATGCTTAAGTTTCATTTTTCTCCCCTCTTTTTTTACCCCCCTTTTTGTGCCAAATTCCCACCCAAAACCTTCCTTTCTCACACAAACAGAGGACAGTACTCAGTTGCTCATCCCTTCAGATGCCAGTAACAGCACAGTCACCAATGGTATGTGAGCCTAAAGTTCTCTGCCCATCCTTTTCCTCAGGCAGTGAATGGACCCCACAGTGACAGTAACTGATGATGGACATCTAAAAAATGTCTTTCAGTTTTTCCACCCGCTGTAAGAGGATGAGTGCACCTTTATTTCCCCCCTGTAGTATCGTTTATTTGTGGTTTTCTGTTTGTACAAGTGTGTGGCCGTCCCAAARTCAGAACTGTGATCTGTTTACGGCACAGACTATAAACCTGTTGAACTCACCCTTTTTTGTTTGTTTCTGTCAGGGAAACAAGCTGACGGAGCTGTGGAGAACAATCAGAACAAAGGTAAACTAAAACAAAAATAAAATAAAATAAAAGGGGAATCTTTGAAACCACCAAGTTTGGATCGCCTCCCTAATCTAAGAAACTAAACCTAAGAACCCAAAAATTGAGTAAACAGGACTGGTTAAACCCCGCTAACTATTAACTACTACTAACAAATGTGAGRGCAAGCTAAGCTGGTGTCTATAACGGAAAGAGCAAGGAACTGTTTAATGTTAAAAAATGTCACTAACAGATTTCTAATTTTTTTACCAAATGTTACATTTAAATGTTAAATAGGACATGTAAATCCTAAATTTGATTGGGTAAATCTAAACGTAACCATGAAATATTGAAGTTTACGGTCAAGTTTTTCAGAAAGGAACGCAGCCTTTGCCATTGGCACTGGTTTTTGTTATGATGTCATCATGCTGAGACATTAGCAACCGCTAATGCTTGAACGCAGCTAATGCTTCCCTATGAGACCATGAACTTGCAGTTTTGAGGTGTCTGAGCTGCATTCCAACCTGACGGACTAACTGCATTAGCTAACCGTGATGATGTCATCATCCTTGACAGATGTCATTGTTAACCGCTGCTAACGCTTCGAAAACTGCTAACACTACTAAAGCTGCAAATGCTGCTAACACTACTAACGCTGCTAACACTAGTAATGCTGCTAACGCTACTAACGCTGCTAACACTAGTAATGCTGCTAACACTACTAACGCTGCTAACACTACTAACGCTGCTAACGCTACTAACACGACTAACGCTGTTGAAGATGGCATTTAAAATCTAAATTCAAAATGTGTTCATTGAGAACAATATGGATGGAACAAGTGGTCCAGCAGTTTGAAAACATATTAATGACTTTTAAATTTTTTTCTTCACATTTCACGTGCCCCCTAAYCTTTGCTGTTGCAGCTTTTGTTGTGATGTCGTCATCCTGAGAAAATAGCAGCCTCTAACGCTTGAATGCAACTAACAATTCCCTGCGAGRTATCAAACWTGCAGTTGCGGCTGGTGTTCGAGCTGCACTTCAACCTGCCAGACTGTGTTAGGTAACCAGGATGATGTCATCATCCTTGACAGAYRCCATCGCTGACCGCTGCTAACGCTACGAATGCTACTAATGCTGCAAATGCTACTAACGCTTCTGAAAATGGTATTTAAAATCTAAATTCAAAAYGTTTGAAAATGGATTAGTGACATTTGAAAATTTTTATTTAACACTTGGCCTAACCTTTTTCGTTGATGCGCAGCTTTTGGTGTGATGTCATCATCCTGCAAAAAACAAAACAAAACAAAAAAACAACAAATGCTAACTCTGCTAAAGTTGCTAACACTGCTGAAGTTGCTAACGCTTCTCTTAAGACTTTAAACTTGCRGTCGTGGCYGGTGTCCATGCTGCAYTTCAAACTGCCGGACTGTGGGTTCCATCCATATTGTTTTCAAAGAACACATTTTCAATTTAAAGGTTAAAGGCACAGTATGTAGGATTTGTTGTTTTTAGCGACATCTAGTGGTTGAGTGGTTGAATCATCCTCCCTGGTCCCCCCACCCCCACCCCCCACTTCCAAACACAAAGGAGTTGCTACGGTGTCTCTCAGGTGTCAAAAACCTTTGATAATTCCAACCGCGATGTCTACCAGCAGCTTCAGGGCTAGTGATGTTTCAAGTGGTAAGATTATGAGCTTTAATAAGTAAAATTATCCCAGCTACAATGACAGACAACAAATATTACATTAATAGTATTACAACTAAAACCGTTTTTGACGCCGCCACCGCAGTTTGTCCTTCATGAGCCTTCGTAGACAAGATGGAGGTGCAAGATGGCGGCTGCCTGTAGTGGCGACCCGCGACCATGGCGATATAAACAGCTTTTTATAAGGTAAAAATAATAAAACAAGGTCTTTTTCTGCAATGATTAGACATGTTTTTTATTATTGTCATTAGAGATTATCTCAATTTCGGCTAAAAGAATTGACAAAATCCTACACACTGTGCCTTTAAACGCCATCTTCAGTGGCGTTAGCAACATTAGCAACGTTAGTGTTTGCTTTTGTTGCAGGAACAAAATTTGATAAAAATCCCAAATTTTTTAATGTAAGCTTCATAATTTAGCTGCAAAATTTAAGATTCAATTTTTACATTTAGATTTAACATTTAACGTTTAGACTTAGCGTTTAATTTCAACATTTAGTAAAAACTAACAGAATGTAAGAACGGTGAGCTAAATAACAATAAAATGCAGGTGTATTTTTTTGAACTAGGATTTTATGGTCAAAATGAGATACAGTAAATAATTGACATGTGTTGGTGACATTTTTTAACATTTTATTTTACATTTGGAGCCTCATATCATCAACGCCTCGCTCCTCTTCACTCATCTAGGAGGCGGAGCTTGATTTTTAGTATTGACCAATCAGATCTGGAAACAGACGAAATGTTAATTAAACAACAAATTCATAAAGATGACACGAGGAGACAGTAACACAAATAAATACTGTCTGTCCGATCTGTTAGAGACTGATCATCCTCTCTTGGAGTTTTCTTTTTTTTTTTTTTCAAATCAAGTGCAGCACTAAAGTAAATGTGTTTTAAATGTGTTTATATGTGTGTGTTTGTTCCAGCCAAGAAGCAGGATGGGGGTGTTGCCATGGAGATGCAACCCTTGAAGAGCGCAGAGGGCGGAGAGGTGGAGGACAGAGAGAAGAAGAAGACCAGCGTGCCGAAGAAAGAGAAGAGTGTGCTGCAGGGCAAGCTCACCAAACTGGCTGTTCAGATCGGCAAAGCAGGTAGACGAATGTCAGCCCTTCAACAGGTGGGGTCGTGTGACGCGGAAACATCAGCAGGCGGAAAAAAATCTCCATTTATAGAATCTGAGAAACTCAACCCTCATACAAAATATCAAAAAAAATCTTTAAACTGATTCAGACACTTTTATCACTAGTTTAGGAAGTTTTATTTTACACAGTAAGGTAAAGCAATGTTCAGAAGCTGGTGTACAGACACAGCTAACCAAAAGGTTAGCATAACTAACCATTCCTCTAACAAAAATGTAGCTTTGCAAATACTAAACCGCTAAAAAGTTGTTGGCCGCTAACTCAAGATCTGTCAATTAAACACACGTGTGGTATTATTCACAGAAACATCAGATTCTTGGCTAAAAGCTTTAAAAAAAACATTTCTCTGTCCACCAAACACAATGGAATTAATTAGCGRAACTAAATTTAGCGTTTAGTGGCAATCCGCTAACTAAAAAATTAACTTTGCAAACGCTAAACCGCTAAAAAGTTTAGAAAATTAGCAGAAGCTAATGCTATCTGTCAGATGTTAAATCAAGAGCTGTCATTTAAACACAGATGTGTGGTATTATTAACAGAAACATCAGAATCTTGGCTAAAAGCTAAAAAAAAATTTAAAATACATTTGTACGTCCACCAAACACAATGAAACTATATTAGCAGAATTAAAATGAGTGTTTAGCATCAATCCGCTAACTAAAAAAATATACTTCGCAAATGCTAAACCGCTAAACAGTTTAGAAAATTTGCTGAAACTAATGCTAACTGATAGCTGCTAACTCAAGATCTGTCATTTAAACATATGTGGTATTATTCACAGAAATGTTAGAATCTTGGCTAAAATCTCATAAAAACACATTTATACGTCCACCGAACTCAGTGGAACTATATTAGCATAATTAAAAATAGTGTTTAACGACAATCTGCTAGCTAAAAAAATTTACTTTGCAAATTCTAAACCGCTAAATAGTTAAAATTAGCAGAAGCTAATACTAACTGATAGCTGCTAACTCAAGATCTGTCATTTAAACACAACATATGAGGTATTATTAACAAAAATGTTAGAATCTGGGTTAAAAGCTCATAAAAACATTTCAATTCAATTCAATTCAAAAATACTTTATTGATCCCAGAGGGAAATTAGGTATTCTACGTCCACCAAACACAACGGACTTAAAGTTAACAAATTTAGCGTCATTAACCTACAATCTGCTAACTAAATTAGCTTTGCAAATGCTAAACCACTTAACAGGTAAAAAATGATCAGAAACACTAAGTGATAGCATGCATTTAAACAAAGACGTGTGGTATCCACAGAAATGTTAGAATCTTAGCTAAAAGCWCATAAAAATTTTTCTACATCTACCAAACACAACAGACTTAAAGTTAGTCGCAGAAGCTAGATTGTCCGTTAACGGTTTCCAAAGTTAGCAAAAACGCTAATCTGCTAAACGTAAAGTTCGCTTTGCTATTCGGTGTTAGTGGTTTAGCAGAAGTGTTACCGCCACTGTGTTGGGTGAATGTAATTACACTTTGGAGAGATTTTTTTTCTTTACTGCAAAAATATCTTGTAAAAGCTGTTTTACTGTTTTTATAAATATAAGCATAGTTGGTACAATTTCAGGCTTGATAATTTTTGTAGCACCAGAAATCTTCAATAAGATTAAAAAGTCACATTTTGTGCATTCAGTTTTGGTTATAGTAGTGCGAAAGAAAATTAGGTTTTTGTTTTCCAGCACAAACACGAGTTTGTTGTTGTTCTCGCAGGTTTGGTGATGTCGGCCATCACCGTCATCATCCTCATGCTGTACTTCGTCATCAACACGTTTGTCGTTAAAGGTTTGTATGAACAAAATTATACATCTGACTATCTTAATATTTAAATTCACCTGAACATGGTGTCTTCTGTGTGCTGCAGGTCGCACGTGGTTACCGGAGTGCACGCCCATATACATCCAGTATTTCGTCAAGTTCTTCATCATTGGAGTCACGGTTCTGGTGGTGGCTGTACCTGAGGGCCTGCCTCTGGCTGTCACGATTTCTTTGGCTTATTCTGTCAAGGTAGACCCAACTATCTCCACTTTTTAATTTAATTTAATTTAATTTAATTTATTTTATTTTTTGCTTTTATATTGAAAAGCCATATGACTTTCCTACTTTAAAAAAAGGTTATTTGTGACCCATCACATCAAATCAGGGATTAAGTCAAGCTTGATCAAACTAAACTGCATTTTGATTCCACATCATCTTGATTTCAGATACATCCAGTGTTGTATAAAGTACCACAAAGTGATACTTGAGTAAAAGTACAAGCATCTTA